TTCAGGCCTAAGCTGCTTATTTAACTACCTCCATTAAGGCTTTCATTAAGTAATAATGAAGTCATGGAGATGAAGAGCTGTGACAGGGGACGACGGTGCCTTCATGAGTTTCATCTAATAGAGCTCAGACCCTGAGCAGCTAGGAACCACAACTAAGTGACTCCACCAGCAGCCATATGAATAACAGGCAGTACTGCCTGATAGAAAGAGAGTGGGCACCAAGACTTTGTCACAAATTAGAATTTTCTGCACCTTTGGGCGAGTCATAGAACCAGAATCTCTGAGATGGAAGTGACCAGGTGGTCCATTTAGCCCAATCTTCTACCTTGGGCAGGAATCCTTTCGGTAATAAATCAATGTGCCAAGCACTGTTCTAGGCACTGAGGATACAAATAAAAAGAATGAAATAATTTCTAATTTCAAGCTTTTTACCTTCTAATGGGAAAGACCCCTATATAAGTACATTCAAAATAAATACGAAGTCATTAAATTCAAAGCAGGTTGGGGAGGAGGGGCGGTTAGGCACTAACAGTTGAGGGAGTCAGTTTGGGTCTCATATAGAAGTATTACTTGTGTTGCATCTTGAAGGAAGAGAGGGCATTCTAGGAGGCAGAGATAAGGAAGGAGTGTATTCCAATGATGGGGGACAGCCAGTGCAAAGGCCCAAAGATGGGAGATAGAATGTTTTGGGTAAGGAACAGGGATTACAGGAAACACATGTGGCTCTATAATACATTTTTACATGTTTGTAAAAATGTATTTTGATGATAGGAAACATTACTACATAAATATGTTTTATATATAGCACAAATGTAAATATATATAAACAATATAAATATATTAGGAACACATGTGTATTTATGTACTGACTAAAACATAAACATGAGATCATTGATTCATGTATAAAGACAATAATTATTTACTTTTGATGTCATTTCCTAAAGCAAAGGTCTGACCAACACATTTTTAAATCCAGCTGCCAATCGAGGTCATCTTGCCATCTGCCCTGGGGCCATCTCACTTCTCTTCACCTGTAACAGCACCTTCCAGGTGGGACCTCCAGGAAACATGCCCCTAATTCCTAAGAGAGTTCAACCAGACAGCTTTGTAACTCCTTCCCTGGGACTGAGCTGTCTTCATTGTTTAATGAGTGAGGACAACCTCAACTATGTAACTATATCTAGTGAGCCCCATACCAGACCATGTTTCATATCCCATCCAACTATCCACCCTGGCCATCTCGCCATCTGTCCTGCCACTGTGTATCAATCATCCACACTTAAATCCATGTTTAATTCATTCATTCACTTAAGGGTTGGTGGATGTAAATCTAGAAAAGGAAGCAGCAGTCACATAGAGCCAATATGGCTATGGCTTCATAATAATATCTGACCTTTAAATAGCTCTTCCTTTTAAGATTTCCAAAGGACTTTTGTAGCTGATTTCATTTGATTTTCACAATCCTGGGAGATAAGTACTACAACTATTATTATCTCCATTTTTTAGATGAGGAAAGTGAGGTTCATAGAGATTTAATTATTTGCCCAGGTAACACATCTGTTAAGTATCTAAGGTGGGATTTGAATCCAAGTCAGCTGACCCCAAGAAGCCTAGTTCTCTACCTATTATTCTACCAGTAACAAAAAGAACAGAAAATCTCATTTCCTTTTTCATTAAACTGGGTTACTAGACCAGGAAAGGGTAGCTAGGTGACACAAAGCATAGAGCACTGGGCTGGGAAGCAGGAAGACTCATCTTCTTCAGTTCAAATCTGGCCCCAGGCGCTTACTAGCTGTATGACCCTAGGCAATTCACTTAACCCTGTTTGCCTCAGTTTCTTCAACTTGTAAAATGAGCTGGAGAAGGAAATGGCAAACTACTCCAGTATCTTTGCCAAGAAAACCCCAAATGGGGTCATGAAGAGTCAGATACAACTGAAGCAACCAAACAACTAGACTAGTGATGTTGTAAGAACCAGATATGTGATTTTATTGTTATGGGGATCTCCTGGGTGAGGTGGTCAGCATCTTTTTTTGCAACTTATATCTTGGGAGAGATGATCAAAACACTGAGAGATAAAAGGTCTTGCCCAGAGTCACACAGCCAGTATGTGTGCAAGGCAGAACTTGAACCCAGGTCTTCCTGACTCTGAGGCCAGTTCTCTATCCATTATGCCCCATGGCCTCTTTCATTGTAGAAATATTTCAACTCAATTTTAGCAAATCATTTGATGAAGTCCATTATCCTATTCGTATGGGAAAATGGAGAAATTTGAGTTAGATGACAGAATGATCAGGTGTATCCTTCAACTAATTGAATGACCAAGCCAAAAAGTATATAGTCATTAATGAATCAATATCAGCTCCTCTAGGAGGTCTTTCCTGATTCCCTCCCAGTCATTAGTGCCCTCCCATACCTCCAAAATAGTTTGTATTTATTCTGTACATATTTTGATACAATTATCTGTGTGTGTGTTGTTTCCCTCCAATGAAATGTCAACTCCATGGATGGAAAGGAAGGAATGATTTTATTTTTGGCAGTTCATCAGATGAGATGTTCAGCTTGGAAGAAGGAAGACTTTAGTTCAAATCTTGTCACAGACACTTGCAATCTGTGCCAGTCTGAGCAAGTCCCTTAACTTTTCTCAACCTCTATTTCCTCATCTGTAAAACTGGGATAATAATAGTGCCCACCTCACAGGGTTGCTGTGAGGATCAAGTGAGATAATGTAAATTGCTTTGCAAACCTTAAAATGCTATTTTCATATGTGTATGTGCATGTTATAGACTATATTATTATTATATGCTAGGGGTGCCCGGCACATGGTAGGCTCTGTACTTGACAGATAGTAAGCACTCAATAAATGCTTCTTCAATTGAATTGGATTGGATAGGATTAAATTGGCAATCAAGCTATGCTTTACCAAACAACATCTGGAAAAGGGCATTGCCAGAGTATGTTTCATTCATCCACTGACAGCTTAGTCTTTGAAAGAGTTGACAATTCTCTCCTATAGGTGCCTCAGTTAAGAGCCCCAGTTGATCAAATAACTAGTTACAGATGAATCATGAATAAGGGGCTTTATCGCTGGCATCAATATGTGAGTGTTTACAGGTATAGAAACAAAGAATATGAGAATACATCATAATTAATACATTCTCGTCACAGAAAATCAAGGCTATCATCTATGTGGGCTAAGGTTTAAGGAAGAGTTTTAAATTGGAGAACAGAGGCAAGGCTGTCCTGCATTGGCAGGATGGGAGGGCTTGAAAAGCACCAGGTTTGTTTATTTGATTTTAAACATCTGCCAATAGATACAGCATTTCTTGCTACATCCAATCAAATGTTCAAATTTATCCACACTCATAAAATGACATTGGATCTGGGTAAGTGACTATTACTTCTCCCCCAGATATTTAAGCCCATTTTATCAACACCCAAGCCTTGTCAAGCAGAAATACTACTCTAAAGATATGTACCTGGAGTCCCTCAAAGAAGAGGTTTATAGGACAGTATTAGTGATAAATGTAATTATAATAACACATCTACACAATGTTTGTAAGTTAGCTTCATTTTCAGCAACTTTTTCTGCTTGATCTTTTCAAATTCCTTATATAAAAGTATTTTCCATTTTTCCATTATTCATTTTTCCACTATGGTGTATTAGCAGCATATTTAAATAGGTCAGATTGAAACTGTGGTAATTGTTCATAGTGTCATCTTATCTTTAACATTTCTTCTAATTTGATATTGCTTTGGCCCTTTGCTCTACCTGGATTTGCCAGTTGCACACAGCTGATTCACAAATGTCTCCCTTATCAGTACCCAGTTGCATCCAGTCTTTTAGATACTGTCATTTTCATTTGTCACAATATTGTTTGGTACTGACCATATCCAATCTTCTGGCTCTCCTTTGGAAAAAGTTATTCATGTTATATAGGAAGAGGCAACTGGGTGGTACAGTAGGTAAGAACATGAGACTTGCTCGGGTCAGGAAGACCTGAGTTCAAATCCTGCCTCAGACACAAGCTGTGTAACTCTGAGCAAGTAACTTAACTTCTCCTGGCCTCAGTATTCTCATCTGTTAAATGGGGATGATAATAGCACCGACCTCATAGGGTTGTTGTGAAGCTCGAATAAGACAGCCTATATAGCACCTTGCTAATTTTAGAATGCTAGTTATTATTGTGAGATTTCTAAGTAATAGATAGCCCCTATGCATCTTTAACATCTCAAACCTGGACCATCCACATGGATGATATTGAGCTAATTGTATCAAGACTCAGAATATGGATGGCAGGGCCTCTTCAATGAGATTCATAACTACTCACAAGAGAACAATGTAACAATGTGTATAGGAAAAACTAAATAGATGAAAAATGCTGTCCCAGCTATTATTTGGAATTGAATGGCCCTCCTATTGACGTAGTGTAATATGTACATGTATCTAGAACCACCATTGCATATGGATGTGTTGGGCACCAAGAAAGTGGGAAAGCTTGCAAATGCATTTTTCAATAATGATTCCAAGTTGCTCCTTAGTGCAAAAAAAAAAGCAAAGATTTTTTAGCATAAATTCCTTTCTATAGAAGCTGTGTCTTGGAGTACTGCAGGCAAGCAAATCTTGGAACACCACAATGTCTGAAGAGCCAAAGTTTTAAATGCTGAGAAATAAAATGAAGAAGGCATCTAGCACATTGGGGGTGGGGGTTCTCTATAAGAGAACATTGAAAAAAAATCATACAAAGTAGAAGAGAAATGGATGGGTCTAGATCTTAAACAAATGGAGGGAATACCCACATTGATGGGTTCATAGATCTATGGAAATATAAGCATATAAAAGTGTTTTGTCTAGAGTTTTTAAATTTTTCTTAAATTTAAGAAATAATTAAATGATTTGTAAATCCTGAATTTTTAACCACAATGCAAATGCTTAAAGAAATTCTGGTGTCTCTGTAAGAAGTCTAATACTTAAATCTAACTTGGCAATATATGATTCAATGCATTTAATGAATGAATTCGTTTCAGCTTACCACTATTTTCTGACTGTAACCCTTTTTCTTTCATCCCAGAGGCAACAGAAGAACCACAAAAGAGGGATCGACCATTTTGAAAAGCCAGGACCTTGGTCTAACCCCAAATAGGTCAGAATACTTGTTTCATTTTTAAACACAGGAATGAAAATCTAAATTCTGAGGCACACACTCTGTATTGCACTGTGTTCACGCCTAACTGTTCCTTCCAGATCTCCTTTCCTTATTCTTCTTTATTGCTACCTCTGTCTCCAAGATGTTATCCTCAACACATTTCTCTTCTTTCTGTACATTCCCTCCATAAATGAGCTCATCCGTTCTCATGGTTTTAATTACCTCTATGCAGATTACTCTAAAATCTATGTAACTATCCACCTGTGTAATTATCTCTCCCCCATAAGTCCCTGTGCTATATTTCAAACCCAATGCTGGACAGCTCCACCCAGATGTCCTATTTGTACTTCAAATTCAACATGTTCAAAACTGAAATCATCTCCCCACCCCCCAAAAAAACCTTCCTATCTCCTAATTTGTGTTGTGGTTTTTTAATCTTTATTTTTTTGACTTTGTTATACTACTTATGTATTATTTATAAATATTATTATATATTATATATATATCATTATATTATTACTTTATTAGTCTCCCAGACAGAAACTTGTCATCTTTTATTCTCCCTTCTCTTTCATTTCTCCCCCCACAACCAATTCCCTAGTCTTTCCTATTCCATTTCCACAATATCTCTTGCCTCTATCCCATCTTTTTTCCTCACACGGTGACCCTCTAATTCAGAGCCTATTTGTTCTCTTTGTCTCCAGAGCTTCTTCTCCAGTGCAACCACACAGCCATCAAAATCATCATCCTGATGTAGAAATAGGATCATGTCACTCCTGCCCTCAAGCACTTTTAGTGGCTCCCTTTCACCTAAGGGATGCAAATAGAAACTCTTTAGCTTGATATTTAATATTCTCCAGAAATTGGTTCCAACTTTCCCATCCTTATTTCTTGTTACTTCTTTTTGCCTCCTTTATATTCCAACCAAACTGGTTTATTTCTTGCCCAAATAGTCTTCTAAAATTTCCTTCCCCTGTACTTTTGCATAGACCATCTCCATGTTTGCAATGTATTCCTTATAAGTCTCTACCTATTCAAATTATTTTCTTCCTTCAAGGATGACTCTTTCATAAAGCCTTTTTTTTATGCCTATAGCTGAATATTCTATGTTTGCCTCTGTCTATGTGTTTCTCTGTCTCTAGCTCTTTCTAACTCTATTTCTATCAGTCTCTGTCCCTCTTTGTGTGTGTGTTTCTCTTTTTCTCCATGCATCTTTCTCCCTCTGTCTCTCTCCATCTCTGTCTTTCTGTCTCTGTCTCACTTTGTCTGTCTTCAGATTTTTTATAATACCTTGTCTGGACTGCCCTCTTTGTACTTAACACATTTGATCTTTTATCATACTTTCTTATGAACATATATTATTGCCCCTATTGGATTGTAAGCCCCTTGAGAGCAGTGACTGTCAGTTTTCATCTTCATGTCCCAAATGGGTAGCACAATGCCTTACACTTGGTAGGTGCTTAAAGAATATGTGTTGAATTGAAACAGATGTTGGATAGATAGATGTTGGACATGTCTTTTTTTTTTTACAGAGTTAGAAAGAGAGCAACATGATTAGATCACTTGAGCAAATCAGCCCTCTATACAGTCCCTTTATATGTGATTCAGTTGTAATGTGGAGTTAAAGTTAGGATTAGGGGTTAAGAATCTGACAGAGTTAGGGTGAGAAATCCAAAATTAGGATTAGAGTTAGCAGGCTTGAGCAGGCAGACCAGAGAACCAAATGAATGCTTTCAACTGAATTTTGGCCTTTTAAAAACAGCTCCTGTACTGATGAGCATCTGTTCCCTAATAAGGAAGGGCATTAGATCGTGTGTCTTTCTTTCTTGATGGTGGTATAATGGAAAGAGAGCTGAACTTTAAGGCAAAGGACCTGGGTGCAAATCCCATCTCTTCTGTTGTTTTAAGTAGAGGCATTTTGCCAAAGTCTCTGCTATCTAGTCTCATTGTGACACTGACCAAGTGACCTAACCTCTCCTTATCTTCTTAGAGGTTTAAATTTTCGTTTTATGTCTCTGCTTGATACCTTTTTTGCTCTCAAGGAGAAGGAAGATATAACCTACTAAACTGAATTTCTGTGGGGCTTCCAGTCTTGGCAACTGGACCTTTTTTTTCCCTTACAGTCCTGGAGAACAGAATTATTCCACCAATGCACAGGACTCCCATCAGTATAAATATAGGGAGCCCCTCTAAAAACAGATGTCCCTAGAGGGCAGAATGAGGAAAAATGGGTAGAAGTGACAAAGAAGTAGATTTAGGTTTGATTTTTAAAAGAAATGAAGAAACTTCTCAATAATTAGAGCTGTCCAAAAGTAGAATGAGTTGCCTTAGAAGCTACAAGGTTTCCCCCAATTAGATGCCTTCAAACCACTTGAGTATGTTGTAAAAATTATTCTTGCCTAGGTGGATTGTTCCCTCTGCTTCTTCCAGTTCTGTGATTCTATGATACCATGATACCTGTTTAAAAGGAAATATGGTACATATAGATAGATAAATAGAGAGAGAGAGAGTTGTATATATGTATTTATTACATATATAAGTACTTTATTGTTTGTATAGATACATAATCATACATGTGTATTAAGTCTATTGAATGTGTGCATGTGTCCATAAACATATGTGTGTATGTAGATAGATACACATACACAAATACATTCATTGAAAAAGCATCCACTATACACCACATTTTGGTTTCATGACAGTCATTTTGAAGAGTGTGACTAGTTTGCAGATAAATATGGCCCTTACTTTTTCCTGACCCTACTGGCACAGTGGATACAATATTAAATTTGGAGTGAGGAAGACCTCTGTCTGAATTCTGACTCAGACTTTTACTAGTTGTGTGACCATAAGCAAGTCATTTAACCTTCCTTAGGCTCAATTTTCTCACTTGTAAAATGGGAATGATAACATCAACTAATTCACAAGGCTGTTATAAGGATCTAGTCTCAATTCATTTGAATATTTTTTTCTACATTGGGATGTCAGGCATAATGCAAGGGAAATCACTTTGCAAATCTCAGTGTTTTGTAGTTATTACAAATAGTACAATTGCATTATAATCATTATTGCTGTTGTTTAGTCATTTTTTTCAGTTGGATCCAACTCTTTGCGATGCCATTTGGGGTTTTCTTGGGAAAGATACTGGAGTGGTTTGCCATTTCCTTCTCCAGCTCATTTTACAACTAAAGAAACTGAGGCAAACAGGGTTAAGTGACTTGCCCAGGGTAGCTAGTAACTGTCTGAGGCCAGATTTGAATTCAGGAAGATAAGTCTTCCTAACTCCAGGCCTGTCACTAGCCACCTGGCTTCCCACAAGCATTATTACTATGCCTTTTTTTAATGTCTAATCTTTCTCATCCTAAGAAAATACAGGATATGCCAAGTCATACACCAAGAACAAGCCTCTAAGAAACAGATCTCTCTCTACGGGTTTTGATAGATACCACCGGCCAACTTGCCAAATATCACCTGCTTGTCCAAGCTTTTTCCCCAGGAAAAGTGAAGGAATTATTTCTAGGCAGTAGTCAGCTATCTAAAGGTTCTCTAAGAACTCACTACACTTATGAAAAATTATGGATGTCTTCAGGCTAATTTAAGTAAACATTAATTATCTTTCAGTAATGCCTCTTAAGTCAGCGTGCCTAACTTCTACCAGAAAAAGTGATATGTAAGAGAGAGAGAGAGAAACCAAGAGTCTTCCTTTAAATTGGCATGGCCAAAACAATAGCATACATTGAAGCAATATTTACAATTATATTAAAAAAGGAAACTAGAAGAATCAGCTTATTCCAAAACAAATTATTTGAGGATGTGTCATAGCACGCTCTGGTGATATTAAAAGAGTAACAGATGATGTTACAGCAATCTATAACAAACCATCTATAAAGTAGGATTCAAATATACATATATTCTATAAACATAGACATCTCTCTGTCACTGCATATTTTATAATGAAAGGTGCAATGAGAGTATAAATTATTACTGGATATGTATGAACCAAACTGGAATTTCTATTAACTACATATTTGGGGCTGTTACTTCACTTGGTGCGGTGGATAGTCAGGAAGACTCCTCTTCCTGAGTTCAAATCTGGCCTCAGACATGTACTATCTGTGTGACCCTGGGCAAGTCACTTAACCCTGTTTGCCTCAGTTTCCTCACCTGTAAAATGATCTGGAGAAGAAAAAGGCAAACCACTCTAGTATCTTTGCCAAGAAAACCCCAAATAAGGTCATGAAGAGTCAGATAGGAGTGAAAAATGACAACAACAATACAAGGGGATCAGCTTTAAACACAAATAGCAAGAACAGACCATTTGATTATTCAGAATATCTATGTATATAGTCTGTTCTGCTGTCATATTACTATTCACATTAGTCATTTAAGCATGAATAAGAGCTGGCTTTCCAGAAAGCCCAGGAAGGGAGCTCACTGACTGTAGAGTTGGAAGGGGCTTTTGGAATGAACTCATCCAATCATTATATTTTATAGATGAAGAAAATTGAGACCCATGGATGTGAAAGGTATAGGCTCATAGGTTTACAGATTTAGATCTGGAAGGTATCTCATGATCATCTAGGCCAATTCCTTCATTTTACAGACAAAGAAACCAAGGCTCCAAAGACAGGCAGAAGCTAGAGCAAGGCCACTTTAGTGTTAAGCTTAATGAAATAGATTGTATGAATATTATTAGTCTTTTTTGACAAGTGAGGAAACTGGGATTTAGAAGGTGAAGTGATTTACCTATCTTAATGTAGAAAGTAAATGGTGGAATTGGGACTTGGAATTTCTGACTCCAAATTTCACAGAGCTGCCTCAGTGGCATTACTTGGAAATAAAAGTGTTCTTTAAAACATGCTATAACGCAAAAGACAAACAAACACTGGTTTGAAGTCAGAAAATCTGCATTCAAGTCCTGGGTGCATGCTAACTAACTGTGTGCCCTGGAACAAATCATTTCCCTTCATTGGGCCTCAGTTTCCACATTTATAAAA